GCACGCCTGTTTCACAGCAGGTCAGTCAGTAGAATCAAACTTGAAATCAGCCTCATTAGAACTACTAATAATGTCAGAAAGCATTTTTGGGAGAAATTTGAGAGGAGATCTTATTTTAGTTTGACTCCACTCACATCTGTTAACGTGGAGCAGGAGTTTCCTACACTCACTGCTCCAGTCTAAACATCCTTGGGCAGGATACTAATGAAATCAAAATGAAATAAAGGATGTAAATATTTCATTGTATACATAATGAACATAAAATAATGCCCCCCCACACACACACACACCGTTTCCTCTATATGCTAATTAGCCGAGATTATCTGAGATACATGCAGATAAATATGTGCAGTAATTAAACAGATCAGAGCGTTCAGTGGACATGAAGAGATGAACTTTATTATCTTGTTTAGCAGATGACAGAAGCACTGGAAGATAATATACTTTCACTCCTGAAATAAATAGTAATTAAGATCACAAAGATTATTCATTAGGGAATATCACAACAAAGTAAAAGGAGCAGGTTGAACCTCTAAAACAAACATTTCTGCATAGATAGTGTTGGATCAAAGCTCGTGTCAGCAGCTCAGCGCACAGCCTGATGATGTCACCACCGATCATCCTCAACACACGACAGTGACAGAAGGAAAAGCTTTGAGATAATTAATGACGTGATTATGTACAGTGTTCAGAGGTGATCACACACACACACACACACACACACACACGACCTTTAAAAAAGTAACAATGTATCCAAGGGCAGAGTTCTGAAACATCAGCTGTGTAGATTGAAGCTATTTGGCCTCTGTGTGTTGACACAAAAGTTTATGGTTGCTACGGTGACCATAAACAATGACAATACTGGATAGACGAGAAAAATCAGATTGTCGATCAAACTGCAACGTTTACAAAAGGAAAACAGAAATCAGGTTTGACAGGATACACGTTGAGGATTAGTCCTTTCACAATAAAAGACGAGGATAGTAGCATAAATCATGTAAGTAGTGTTACTGACTCTTCCTTTAAACAGATGTGTTGTGTTACTTCCTTCTATGTAGCAGCGCTCTGTCAGTCAGTGCAAGCAGCTGTTTTCTAAAGCGTTGCAAACATGAGCCAAAGTTTCCGTCTGTTTGCGAGCTGTGGTTCTGATTACGTGTTAGAGTAACAGTAACTCTTGTTATACATTAAAAAGACATAAAAACTTTGATGGACAGAAGAAGAAGAAGAATGTGTTATACTTGGTCAACGTGTCAGTGAAAAGTGGCGAGCCTTTAACTCGCTGCCCATTAAGCAGATGTTAAAAAAGCAAACGTAGCTGCTGGTCAAGCTCACACTGACACTACGAATCAGGCAGCTTCTGTAAATGCATCAGATGTAAATGTCACTCTCATCAACAAACCTGTATCTTCATAAATAACATAAAAGAAATAAAGTTCAGCCCAAGGAGAAACGACACCGACGGAGTGGAAGATAACGATGATGAACCTGAACATCTGTAGCAGTCGTGTGTGTTTATGGTCATTTAGCTTTTAGATTTCATTCATGTTAAAAGTTCGAATGCTATCAAACAAAAACAATCACATACACTGTAATTCTGTGTAACCTGGCCGCCTGCAGGTGTGAGTGCGTGTGAGACTGTACCTGTTCACTTCCTTCAGTCAGAAAACTTTCAGGAAAAAGTCTTTAGGACAAGTTCAAGTTCATCGGAACTTTAAAACTGTTTCAAACGAGGCACTGATGCGAAAATAACAACGGGAACAAAAATAGTTAATACCAACATTTTGGTCTAGATCAGGGGGTCAAACTGAGCTGAGAGCCACTGCTGGCG